GTTTATTGCACAATTATGCACATGAAACAGTGAAGCACAGTTGTTGGGCAGCACAAAAGTGCAATCTGATATTCCTGTGAGGGACTGTTGGTGCAGTGCACAACATGACACAGCTGTGCTTCTTTGAGGTGTTTACCAAGTGACCCAAAGAGTGACTTCCACATAGAAGGGTTAAGCACAGAATTTGCTTAAGCACAAAAAACCTTGCTTGATAAACAAAGGTTACCAGCTCAAACTATATGTGATTGTCATGCTGACCAAAGGACAGGTATTAACATATCATTCCAAAAAAATGTACATCACAACGTTTGGCTGGTAACCTGATATTTGTCAAGCAAGGTTTTTTCACGCTTGTAACATATGTAGCACTATGAAATTGGCCCCTGTTCTGTTGTCAGCTATCAATACCGGTGACAAGAACACACTCTCAAGCAAGTCGTCATCAGGCACAGAAGTCAAACCACCAACAGTGTTCTGCTTTCGGGACTTTTACATTTGGTTCAATCTATGAATTTAGGGTCCAAAAAGTGACCTTTTTTCGTCCCTGTTCCCTCTGACATGTACACGTACACGTATACCATCTGACATGTTTGACAAGGGATGTATCACTGAAATTGATTTCAAACTATTTTAATTACTCTAACAGTTAATTTGCAGTACTTAGTCAGTCTTGGAAATTAAACAATTGAGTTCTAAACAATAAAAACCAAACGTGACAGGGACGGGAAAAAATTGGACCCCAAATTTATAGAATGACCCATTTCCTTGGGAAATTCACGTTTTGTCCAGCCACATCTATTTCTGGTCCAACGCCAGAAGTGGTCGGAGAATGACTTACACGTAGGCATGTCAAACTGAAATGCCACACTCTAAGTTAGGATGGGTTGGGCTGAGCAGGACGATTGGAAATGGTTGGCAGGGTTGGGTTGGAATAGGGTCAGGCAGATTGCATGCAGGTCTGTGGCCTCGAGTAAACATACATGTACAATGCATGTATTCAGTCAGTTATGGTGGTCAAGCTCCTTGGGTACACAAATCTCCATTTAATGTGAATAAATGTGGACAGCATCTTCACTACTCATCAGCAAACTACACGTAAATGCACGGGAACAGATCACGAAGGTCGAATGCCCGGGGCGGGGGGACTAACACTGAGATGTTGTTTTCCTACTCACACTCGGGTCCATCAAAGGTGATGGAAATCATGTTGACCAGCATCACCAGTGTGTAGCAAATGGGAAGAACCTTCAGACCTGGCTCCAAGGGCTCGTCCTACATGCAAGCAGAAAAATAAACCTTTAGCATCGTTGCCGTCGTGCAGTGATCCAAATACATGTAATTCATTTCACATGATCTGCCTTTCCCCAATCAGATTAGAATAATGTATTCCTGACATTTTTAAATCTGTGCATTGATACAGAAACTCCCCAAAATGACTAATTCCGAAACAGTTAAACATGAGTACAGGCACATATACATGGGCAAGCCCTATCAATGCCTCTACCAATGTGGGAAACCCCTCCAAAAAGTGCAAACATATCGGGGAATGAAAGACAACTTGTTCCTCTATTTCCCTTCCCTTCCAAAGCATTTAAAAAGCACGGAATGTAGCCCCACCCCTCAGAAAGGTCACATAAGGTGATAACAAAAATTATTCAAATTTTGGCCCTGCCCCCCCCAAAAAACAATCTGGTTCCGGCTCCACCCTTATGAGTTGATACAAGCTGTGACACCTCACTCTGTGCAGCATTAACATCAATACTGATTACCACCGAAATAACCCTGAAATTCCGATTCACAGCAGTTTTAATTAATTTTATAGCTCTGGCAACTACAAACATCATTGGATTTGCAAAACTGTCCGTGAGGACCAGTAAACGTGGCCACTCGACAATTGTTGTGTGTGTGGTTTGGGGGGGTGGCTTTTTTTGCTGACACACATTAAACCAAACTGTATAAATGCACAAGCGAATACTTTTGACTTTTTCACTTTATTGTTGCCTGAACCTGAACAGATGCTCAGGAAAAAAAATCCCAAACTGTGAAGGCAACGACGCCAAACAAAACTTGGAAGCATACATGTACATGTACCAGCAAATGTGTCAACTATAAAAATTACAATGGCATGTTGAGGACATCTCCATGTTTTATGTGCCGTCACCTACAAAATGCACATGCCAATTTTTCTAAACAAGCACTCCGTACGGACAGCATCTTTGTCGCATCCTTACTAGTAGGTTTTGTTAAAGATGGAGCCAGCTAATGGGGAACAAACGCACATGCATTCTAAGAAACTCCGAGTCCGGTTATCTGAAATAACCACGAGGCAATATTGATTGGTTGAAATGTGGCACCTCCGGCTAATTAATTTGGGAACACTGAACCCCCAACGAGTGTGTGTTGGTGATTGACAAGTACATGATGCCCAGCTCAGTGTACATACATGTACACATGCAGGCTGTGGCTGGACCCCATGTCCATGTGTACATTTGAAGTACATGTAGGAATGCCAGCATCTACCATGAACTCTGACTGAACTGCACGTGCAAACACGTTCGGGTCCATAATGAAAATCTACATCCATGTATGTACAGTGCACTCAATCACGCCATCACATGTATGTACAGTGCACTCAATCACCCCATCACATGTACAGTGCATGTTCGTGCTCTGTACGGTACTGTACATGTCCCGGGCGAGACACACTGAACATTCCGTGACCTTGATTTGCACACGTGGCTTTTCGCCACTTTGATTTCTTGAACTTGTTGCGGGGTATGAGCTACGGCTGTGGAAAGAGATTTGTGGATATTGGACAGCGCTGGCACATAGGCCTGCAACACCACGGATGGGTGGTCACGGCATCACTTTACCCTGCTCTTTTGCCTAGACGTCCCTCATATGCACAAGTCAGTCACAGTGTATTTTCCAATAGATGTGCTTGCTTGTTTACCCTTTAAGAATGTGACTTTTGGGGGGTACTGCCAAGAACATTAATGTCATAAAAAAATATTTAATACACACATCCAAACTAAGGAAAGTAAGAAATTAAGTCATATATTTCATTTTGCCAATGAGAAAGATTCAGCTAGGATCAAAGCATCACAGCTCTTACGTTATTGCTTTGAATATTTCAGGTCTAAGCACAGGAAGCAAGCTGCTCGCAGCAGTTCGTATTTAAATTTTCAATTGCAAAATTTTTTTTTCCAAAATTTAAGAGACAGGCCCCTCCTTTCAACTCATGTAGTGGTATTACTTTGTCACAGACCAAAGGAAATAATGAAAAGAAAACCATTTCTACGTCTACGGTGCTAGACTAGCCCTGAAAAAAAGAAATTACCTTGTTCAAAACAAACTTCTTGTAGAGAAGGAAAATGATGGCCGACATGACTCCAGACAGCAGCGGAGAGATGAACCAAGACGCAACTACAAATAAAAAATGGACAGAGTTTCAAAGTAAATCAACGACTACACAGTTCAGGGCACGTGAACGTGGGTTCACCTTGCACGCATTGAACACATGATCCATGGTGGACGATGGATGCCGTTCTTGCAGGACAAGATTTGAAGATAGTGTGAACGCTCCAAAGCAGTGTATTGCACTACTCGGAGAGAGTGCCAATCAATCAGATGCTATATGTTAAATTTGTCTGGCCAGGGAGACATTTCACCAAACAACCTGCATGTACCTGGAATGGACTTTTGCTACAGCCCAACGAAATCGCAGAGCAGCACTTCTGGCTGAATGTTCTCTTAACGGTTGACCTCAACCTCAAATAGTGTACATAAAATGTGACCGTGCTTAGCATATCTGAAGTCAAAGCTCAAAATTCCTTTTTTTATGATTGATTCTGACGGATGACTTCTGATCTTTCTGAATTGCAGCTCAGTTTTCTTAACTGTAACAGTCCTCAATCCTACAATTTCAATATGATTTCACATACACCCTGTAAAGAACTTACTGATGAGTCCAAACTTGGTCCAATTCACTCCTTCCGTCTGAAACACGACAAGATGAAAGCCGATCATCGCCCCCACAATGCTGTGCGTTCCCGAAACAGGCAGCCTGAAATACGTTGCCACCAGCAACCACACACATGCGCCTAGAGAGAAAAAGGGGGGGGGCAGAACAATAAAACAAACAACGTTTAATGGATGAATGTTAAATCATATATTTCCGGTGATGAACGCAAGGTTACCTCGAAAGTGATCACTGTCACCGGTAAGCCTAAAGAAACCCGTAGAGAGGAGACAACGAGAACTACGATTGTCAGAGGTGGGAGAAAAATCGCAGGAGAATGGTTCTGGGCCAAATCCAAGGAGTCGGGTAGTGACTGCAAAAACCCAAGCCGCGTGGACCAAGCAAGGAATCGAACCTGGGCCGCAGAGGTAAGAATAGCAAGGAAGGAGCCACTAAGCCAACTTCCAAATTTTTTTAGACATTTTAATGACAATGTAGTTGTGGAACCCTCAAATTGTTTTTCCTGCACTGAAGTTGAGGGGTTGATTTATCCTCAAATTGTCAGTTGACTTTTGACTCTATGCACTGGAGAGAGTTGGCGAACAGATGTGTTTTGAGTTGACATTTAAATCATTCCAGAAAAGGGCAGTTTTTGATGTGGTATGGAAGACTGCTCCGAGGTTCAGGTGCAAAGAACTGGAAGGCACCCTATGATTTGGTGACTACTGGACATGAAGTCAGTGAGAAGATGTTTACTGCTTGAGCAAAAGTTCTTGCTGATTAAAATTTGATAATTAATTCTGGCGATAAACCAAGGCCGTTGCATGTGTGCATCTGTGTATCAAAACCAAGGTTCAGAAAAGTCATTGCATACATGTACTAACGAAGGAAATACGAAGTCTCTTTTTTTATGTGTGGACTGTGCAACGTTTTTCCCACGGCCTTTTATTGCTTGAAAAATAAAACTGTCTGCACGTCTTTGTACATGTGCACCTGAGACAAGTGCACAACAAATAAATTTACTACACGTGACGAGTGGCAACCAGTTGCCCACAATGCTCATCGGGGTTAGTCTGGCTGAAGTACATGTACATCCACCCTATGTCGGCCTGGGCAGGGTTTGGACCCAGGCCTCAGGGTGGGAGTGAGGAAAGCAACATCACCATGATAACCCTGGGCAGGGTTTGGACCCAGGCCTCAGGGTGAGAAAAGCAACCTAACCATGATCACCCTGGGCAGGGTTTGGACCCAGGCCTCAGGGTGAGAGGTGAGGAGAGCAACATCACCCACCATGCCAACTTGGCTCCTAGCCCTCACGTGCAGACACCCAGCTCTTCCACTGCTACATGTCGCTTCCATGAAAGCCCCCTTCCCTCCGAATCACTGGCCATAGTTTTGAAAGTCAACTGGCGGCACAGTTGGGAACAAAAGTGTTGGATTTTGCAAGAAGTCCTTCGAGTTTCTGGCGAGGACTGTGCGGCTTTTCATACTGCACCACCATTTTCAAGAAGAGAAACTTTGGCCCTAAATCATGATTTTTTCAAACTTCTGTTTTTTTGGTAAAATTAAAAAGGCTCTGTAATACCTACAACTTGGTGTAATTATATTTTACCACGTCTACTGAAATCAGCAAAATCACGAAGATCTACATGTACCTAGGGTGAATTTCAACTACCAAACTGCATTTTGTGTTTAAAATTTTCACAAAGAGGTAAGTTTGTTTTCCATAAATCGACAAGTAGAATTAGCAATAAAGGGCAAATTCATGGGCAAACTTGTTTTACTGTTTTCAGGAAGAGGCAAATTTGATGCTGGAAATGTATACAAATGTAACAATTTTGCACCCGGCAAGTGCTCCAGCAAAAAAGCATGTGTTTTCACAAATTGACAAAAGTCGCCCGAATAGCGTTTTTCCAAGGAGGCAAATTTGTTTGTTTACAAAATAAACAATTATTTATTGACTTCTACATGTACACGCATTCTTTTTCAGTTCTGTGTCATTTAAGATTCCCTCTTCCATGCAGTAGCATTGGTTGAAGTCAAAAACATCTTAATACTGGGGGAATATACATGTACATGTAAGCGTTTGCAAAAGGAAACCAACTTCAGATGCGATTTTCTCAAAACCTAAATGTAGGTTTTACAATCCGGTGAGACATTCGCCTCTTCGTGAAAACGTTCACGACTGTTGCCCCGTCCACTTTGCAAGTGTGAGGAGTACCATGCAAGTTTTGTGCATTTCCATGAACACAACTACGAGGTAGAGCTTACAGGTTGCAAGTAAATCTGGAGTCAGTCATTCGATATCTTTCCCACATCAATATCAGACCAATACACCTTTTTAACGAGTCCTTTGACAGACTGCATGTGTGATCACGGGCACACGATCACTCGGTGAACATGTGACAGTCATGTGCAGGGCTGAGCATGTACATGTAGTACTGCAGCACCTGTGGCCATCCACACTTTGCACATGTATCATGCCATTGGCATGATATCATGCTGTTGGCACAGCCCCATTCCCACTTACCTACAGGTGCACATGTAAAAATTCACATTTCTGACCATCTGGTGAAAAGGGTCAACTGTCAACACTTTGTATTTGTTTGCGAGTAAATATTTTGCTGTTCAGTGACGTCCCAAAATGACATTTACGGAAAATATGGTACATGTAATTTTCCTGTTCAGTGATGTCCAAAGATAACCTGCAAAAAAAAACAGATCAGTTCGGCAACCACACACATGTACTGGACAGAAGTCCAGCCTTCGGAATATTAACCTGTTTTCTGGAATGGTTAAATATTTAGATAATGTACATGTACACAGACCAACCGCTACTCAGGTTCAGATTGCTGGGTTATAAAACACGTGTCAGAAAATGACTGTAAGGACTACACACTCCTGGCAAGGTTGAGCCAGCTAATGCACATAGCCGGCCCAGCCTTGCCAGCTACTTTTTCTTGTTTTCTTGCCCTGTCTGTTTTTTCCTTTCTTTTTTTTTTTGTCAATGTTGTTTTATTCGTTCAATATTATATCAATATTCAGTATTGAGTGAAAATGATGTTCTTTTGCCGCCTCGTGGTTTGCCCGAATCACGGTTTTTGGCCACAGCCTCATGCGTATGGTATTTTGCTTTTTGAAAACACATACAGTAGACACGAGGTCAAGTTCTGCGAATTAAATTGCAGAAATCTTCTTGTAACATTGATTTTTTCTTTTCAAGTTCAACATGCAGTTGTTGAACTGCCCGGGCTAATTTAAATGACAGTTTTCTTTTCCTTGTAAGGTTGGAAATCACGTTTAATCAGAAAACTTTCCCATACCATTAAATCAAATGATTAAATGTTTTGCTAACCCTTTACAGAGGCTGCCACTGCCAATCTCGGTGTTTTTTGCATAATTACACGTACATGTATATAATTAAACAACGCACACAATCAAACCTAAACCTAATTGATGTTGGGGTACTTAACAAAACAAGCAATGTTTAGTGTTTTGGAATTCACTTTTTTTCTCCAAAAGTACACGGATGCTGAAAGGGAAAAGGTGTACCGAAAATTGGATCCCATTTACAGGCATTGTTTACGATAAAAATGAATGCCAGATTCCATCAATCAAAACGTCAAACCTCTGGAAGGGTCAGGTCAACCATTTGGAAGAATGTGTAAACATATTTGGAACTTTTATTAATTTAAACGTGTACATGTAGACGTTTCACCCTTTAATATTCACTAGTAGTAGAAAACCATTGTTTGTCCCCCCCTTCATAGATTCCCTGAGCAGAGAGCGGAATGCTCAGAAAACAGGAAATGTGCCCCTCAGCTGACTTGGCCAGCTCAAGGTTGCAGGAGATGAAAGGGAGACGCGATCAGGCGCTAATGTAGTGCGAGTGTATGCCTATCAGTGATGATCAGTGTGCGGTTTGTGAAGAAAATTGCAATCATTACACCTGAGTTATCCCCAAATGTCCTGAAGGTACCACCAGGCACACATACATGTCCATACCGTATATACGCCGACAAACACTTTTTTGGTTTTTTTTTTGCATCATTACAGGCACTGGAAGAAAATCTCACTGAAAGAAAATCCAGACAAATGCGATGCATGCACGAGCATGAATCAGTTGTGTCCCTCGGAGACACGAGTATCGATCTCCAGAATACACATTACTGTACAAGCATTAATTTATAAAATGCACATTGCAAATGGTGGAAAAATGTCCCTGTACAAAACGACGCACGATATCAGTAAAACATTTTGTAGAAGAAACACACATATGAGGGTGATTCTATAAATCAGGGGTCCAACTTGGGGACAGTTTGGTGTCCTGTTACATGTGAAGTCGTTCAACTTTTCTTCATGTAAAATTGTAACCACATTATCAAATAATTAGCAGATTGAACTGTATGTTTGATCTACAGAATGTGAACAGTACTAATATTAGTTCCATCCTGAAAAGCTGAATGGTTTCACCCGTAACCGAACACCAAAATGTCTCCAAGGTGGACCTCTAATCTACATGATCACCCGTAAGTGTTCAATCAGTCTTTTTTTTAATGAGAATAGTCTTTCAATTTATTTTATTTCACCCCTTAACTTGGAGTTTTTAGTTATTTTACATTGGTTTTCTCTCTTTACAAAGGAACCATGGTACATGTTCATGTGCCTTTAAAAGGGCATCAGAATAATTTTGCTAAGTTTTTTTTTTCTTTTTTTCTGGGATGTGACCGTGAATTATTTCATCCAAGAGAAAATAAAAAAAAGAGAGAAAACCATGGTTGTGGACAACCACGGAGCTGCTTCAGTTTCAAAGGGTTTTCAAAAAAATCATTGAATAAACTTGTTAGATAATGGCCAGAAGTGGAAATACAGCAATAGAAAGTTTATTACCCATGTCATCTTGCTACATGTCACATGAGTTGTCATGTGACAATACCAGCATCAGGTAAAATCAATTTCCATCACGAGCCCTTCCTTTTCTACATATAGCTATAGATCTGCGAAGTTCAATCCGACGAGACATGTACTTCACTGGTATCAGGCTTTAAAAATTGCACTTTTAATGTCATGTGACTTGTCACCCGAGGATATCATTATCACATCAGGTCAATTTTGGTCTGAAACCCTTCCCCTTTGAGTTATACACAAAATTTCAACCCAGTCGGACATGTACATGTACTTCACGAGATATACAGTGTAGTACTTTCAAGAGTGCTCTTTAAATGTCACATGACTAGTTACAAGATGACATTAAAATCACATGAGGTCAATTTGGATCTAAAACGCTTCCCCTTCGAACTATACACAACATTTCAACCCAATCGGACATATACATGTACTTCACGAGATATAGTGCTTTGAAGAGTGTCTGTTTGATGTCACGTGACTTGGCAGCTGATGTCATAATGAGAACTTGTACAGGAACCTTTTCTAGCTTGTGGCCTTATTGTGTGCCCCTAACACGAACTCAGTCAATCGATAATGGTGCAAAAGCAGTCTTCCTGTTGAAAAACATGTAAAAAAAACCTATACACATGTACACGTATCTGGGACAAATTAAATACTCAAAATTTAAAAAAAAATCAAGTGATGACGTCCTCATGACAATTATGGTGTTCGACTATTAGTAAGTAACTGTCAGAAGGTTTGCTAAGTATGAAGTCAATCAGATTGTTTAAAAAGATACCAAATTCAAGTACCACGATGATTTAGTAGAAAGACATGTACAAACCCTATGGAAAAAAACTGAATACATCAAAATTCAAAAATAAATCACGTGATCACGTCATCATCACAAATTTTTTTTAGGACCTGTACATGTACCTGACATGAATATCTAAATATCTACCAAGATTGAAATTAAACAGATAAATAAAACCATCAAAGTCCCCCATCACAAAACAGAGTCAGAAAAAGGAAAAGAAAAAAAAATAAACAACAAAAGAAAAAGCAAAGCAGTAGCTGCTTCGGCAGTACACCTAAGCAGCTTAAAAACAAAAAAAAGTTGACTTTTTACTGCAAAAACAAATTTGAGTTTAAGCAGTGAACGATTTCATTCCAAAATGTTTCCAACAAATTTGTTACACAATTGGGGACTGGGCATATTGGCGGGTCAGGTAGCGCAAGACAATCGTGGGACAATCAACAATTTTCTTTTATGCGGCCTAAGAATTAAAGAGAAGTACGTGTACATACAGCCAGAAGCAGACCAAATCCGGTGACCTTCCAACAAATTTGCTACACAATTTTCTTTTTGTACACGTATAGTAAAAAATTGATTTCATGCAGCATTCAGTCAGTTATACGAAACAGATGCATAAAATGTAAAAACAGGGGAATGGGCATATTGGCGGGTCAGGTGGCGCAAGACAATCGTGGGACAATAAACAATTTTCTTTTATGCGGCCTAAGAATTAAAAAGAAGTACCGGTATGTGTACATACAGCCAGAAGCTGACCAAATCCGGTGACCTTCACCGTACGTGTACATGTATGTATGGCCTTAAATTAAAATACCCATATTTGAGTTTTGTACAGGGGTGTGAGTGGCCATTTCAAATTAAACCTGAAAACAGCAAATAGCTAAAATGTAACAAGTCCCATACGTTTGTACACAGTAGGTGCACAAACAAAACTGAAATTGAGGGTGAACATCAGAAACAAAACAGCTGAAATCAGCTAAAAAGCTGAATGTTCACACCTCTCTTTGTATCAACTTTTATCAGCAAACCCACCAGAATGGAGATCTCAGCATTTTCCTAATTGCTTGAGGAATCCTGAAAACCTGAAAAATCCTGACTAAAAAGATCCCGAAATCAGGAGAAATCCTGACAAAATCACACTCCCGCAATTTAAAAAAAAAGGACAGGAACCTCTCACCTCCTAATGCAGCTATCTGGCCCACGATCAAAATCTCGGTCATGCCCTCGTAGAGAGTCACGTCAAAGATGCCTTTGCGGATGGTGTCCGACACCTTGGCCCCCAGCAGCACCGCCCCTGCCGTCTCAAAGAACGAGGCCAGGATGCAGGCCATGCGCAGGGTCAGCACCCGTGCCCCTACTGAGGTGGCGAAGGAGTTGGCCACGTCGTTGGCGCCCAGGCCGAAGGCCAGGACAAAGGAGATGGCGAAGCCCACCACCAGCGTCCAGACGTAGGGGCTCATGTCCATCGGGGCCATGGTTCCGGTGCCTGTCGGAAACCAGTCGGAGGTCGCCCAAGAGGGAGTTGGGATGGCAGTCGAGAAATCCATCGTCACTTGCAGATTAATAGCTACTAAGAGAGCAACTACCTCTTGACTTTAACGAGTATGATCTAAAACAGAAACACAAACAAAAAGTGTACCATACATTGTTTGTATTTGAGTCAATGCATGGTGAAGCTGGCTACATGTGCATCTAGAGAGAAAGAATCGCTTGCTTCCAATACTGGCATCTGGCTCACGACTAACGGACTACACAGCTAAGCAGAGTTCCACTCACTTTAAGAACTTAAATTGCTTTACAAAGTGCAGTCTTGTAATTCATACTTTGCACCCCAGACATTTGTTAACACGAACAGCATCTTTGAAATCGAAACGTCATCTTGCCCTTAGGATTAGCAAATATTCTTATCAGAGAAATGTCTGACAAAAGCTGCGTGGTCACGTTGCTGCTTTTTTAGTTTTACACCTTATTGTTACTGTTTGTCAAATGTGGGTCAGAGGAGAATTGATTATGGTTTACACAGTATGTACATGTGCATTGTAAGAACCTAGTTTACAAGCATGACTTTGGCCTTGGCCGAGTGTTTACAGGTACATGCAACACGCTTTAAAATGACAGAATTTAAAGAATCACTACAGACAAGTTTTGTCTCCCCTTATGAAATAACAGATCCCCAAATAAAATATGAAACCCCCTCTCAATGGATTTTATTTCAGTCTGAGTAATTTATAGCCTATACAAGTACAATGTTCTATTTTGTTAGCCAGGGCGCAAGGCCTAGGCCTAATTTTAGAGTGCATATTGCAGGAGGGAGCTTGGGGGCTTATTTTCTGGAGCACACATTTAAATAGGCCTAGGCATGCTAGGGGCCGGCTAGTACTAATATTAATAGT